TCAGAGTCACAGATGTTCACGCCTCCACCACCTCCGCCTCCGGCTACTACTCCTCCAGATCCCAAGCCGGGGCCCCCACTGGGCCCCCCACCGGGCCCCCCACCGGGTCCCCCACCGGATCCCCCACCAAAGACCTCACTGGGTCCTGCTGAAGCAACACCCAAGTGGATGCCGACGCCACCGCCACCGGCAGCCAAGGTGAAGGTGTCATCTACACCAAGAGATGGATCCTATCTTCGGCGGCAAGAAAAATTCAGAAGAGAGGAGCAGCTCGCGGAAGAGCTTGCAACCGAAAAGAAGCTGCACGAGCAGAGACTGCAGGAAACAAAGGAGCATTATGAGGAGAAGTTGGACGAAGCCAAGAAACAATACGATCTGGCGGTGAAGAACCTGCAGCTTCAGGCAAAAGTGGATGCATCTGAAGCGGAGAAACGCTATGACCAAAGGCTGGCAACCGCAGTCAGTAACTTGAGAGAGCAGATCAGTGTGGAGAAGAAAGCAAAGGAGACGGAGCAGAAAAAATGTGCGGACGTCGAGGCCTGCAACAAGAGGTATGTGGATGCAAACGGAAAGTTCGCAACGGAGCAGCACAACTGGATCCAACGTGCTCAAAATGCAGAAGCTGGAGAAAAGGAAGCCAAGCGCCAGGCGACTGTGGCCAAAAAGCAACTGGAGGCGCTGCAAGTGATAAACACTCTATCTAGAAGTCCATTAAGCATATTCCGCTGATTCTATCATAATGGATGGCAGGTTGAACAAAAGAAGTACCAGGAGCTGAAGACACAACACGATGCATTGGAGGCCGACTGTCACCGGGAATTATACCTAACACTGAAAGGTGCAGGCAGACTAGAGGGCGAGCCCCTGAAAGAAGTCTTTCAGTGGCTTGCCCTCTAGTCTCCCTTCACCTCTCGAGTGTGCACATGCCAGGTACTTCTGCAGCAGCGAGCTGCGCAACTCAACCCGCCGTCCGAGGCCACGGCTTCTCGGGGTCGTCAACTGCTGTCTTGGATGATGTGGATGATGGGGCCTGAACAGGAATCTGCTGCGCCAAAGAGAAAGAAAAAGGGCTGAGTCTCAGATTCCCTGAGTCTCAGATTCCCTGAATCTCAGGATTTTAGTGAAGAGTTTCACGTTTTTGAGATGCCAGTTCACTCGACAGGGAAAACTGATCTTGAAATTGCCAGCATGCACTCTGCCTGCACTCCGTGCGAACTGACTTTAAACCAAATCCTGAATCGCCAATGCACTGAGGCCGGCACCATCTGCACTGGAAGGGCGCCGGCACGTTTGGAGGGGGGGGGGGTTGAGACTTCAGGTGGGGCCGGTTCGATTGGGGTTGCTCCGTGGCTGGGTGGGCTTGTGATATTGTTCAGTGTTGCTGCCTTGAATTTAGTGTTGTCGCTGTTGTTGTCGTGGTCGTTATTGTTGTTGTTGATGCTGTCGTCGTCACTGTTACTGTTGTTGTTTGTTGCTGTGGTCTTGTGGTTGTTGCTGTTAGCTGCGGTTTTGCTGCTGTGGTTGTTGTTGCTGCTGTTCTCGTCGTTGTCGGTGTCGTTGGTGTTGTGTTGTTGCTGCTGCTGTTGATGGTTGTTGATGATGTTGTTGTTGTTGTTGTTGTTGTTGTTGTTGTTGTTGTTGTTGTTGTTGTTGTTGTTGTTGTTGTTGTTGTTGTTGTTGTTATGGTTGTTGTTGTGGTGGTTGTTGTTGTTGTTGTGGTTGTGGTTGTGGTTGTGGTCGTGGTTGTTGTTGTTGTTGTTGTGGGTTGTTGTTGTTATTGTTGTTGTTAGTGTTAATGTGTTTGGTGTTGTTGCTGCTGCTATTGCTACTGCTGTCGTTAATGGTGTTACTGTGGTTGTTGTTGTTGTTGCTGTTGTTGTTGTTGTTGTTGGTGGTGTTGTTGTTGTTGTGGTTGTTGTTATCGTTGTTGTTAGTTGTTGTTGTTGTTGTTGTTGTTGTCATTGTCATTGTCATTGTTATTGTCGTTGTCATTGTTATTGTCATTGTTGGTTTTATTGTCAGTGTTATTGTTATTGTTATTGTTAGTGCTGCTCTTGCTGTTGTTGTTGTTGTTGTTGTCGCTGTTGTTGTTGTTGCTGTTGTTGTTGTTGCTGCTGCTGGGTGTTGTTGGTGGCATGGCACGGTGTAGCTAGCTATTGGAAACTTTTGGTTGCAGAGTTGCCGGATGTTGAGTACAAAGGTCGGGTGATTGTTGTTACAGCCGCTTGTTGATGGTTTCGTTACAGGTGGAGGCTGCAGTGCTAATGTTGTTGTCGGTGTTGTTTACTTCTTTGTAGTATCGTCGTTTCTGTTGTGCTGTTGCTGTCATAGGAACACCAACAGCAATGGCAACAGCAGCAACACCAGCAGTGCCATCAACAACAAGGGGTCAAAATAGCAGCAGCATTAAGACTAGCACAACATAAATATAGAAATAACGACAACCAGACTAAGACTAGCGCTAATGCAACGAGGGCGACCATAATGATAGCCAGACGAGCCATGGCAGTTAGATTGATATGGAAGACCAGCGCAGCAATAACAATAACAATATCAAAATAATAGACAGCCAGAGGCAGGCATGCATGTCATGTCATGTGCCACTTGAACAGCGGCCATGTGTGCACCACTTGATCAGTGGCTGTGTCGGGGTTTCACCGTGCGCCACTTGAGCAGCGGCCATGATGTGTGCCACTTGAGCAGCGGCCATGCGTGACATGAAACCAACACTGAAATGCATGCATGACGACTCCTGAGGCCTGGATGACAAAGCTCCCCCGTTGCTGAATGATCTGACAGGGGGGACAAAGAATTTACGTGTTCTGTAAGGCTCGTGAAAGAGATTAAGGGTTAAGGGGTTTAGGGCTTATAGGGCCAAGGTTCAGCGAGTTTCTTTGGAGGTAAGAAGTTTAGGATTAAGAGGTTTTGGGTTTAAAGGGTAAGGTTTCAAGGAGTTCCTATAGAGGTCAGAGGTTCAAGTTGAAGGGGTATCACTAGGGTTTAAAGGGTAAGAAGGTTTCATTTCAGGGAGTTCCTATAGAGGTAAGAGGTTTAGGTTGAAGGGGTTTAGGGTTCACAGTAAGGTTTCGGGAGTTGCTTCAGATGTGAGCTTTCCAAAACAGGGTTTCGGTAGTCTTATTAAAGTAAAGTAAAGTATGTTTAAAGGCTTAGGGTGTAAGAATGTTAATTATGCTTGTTATCAAAAAATGCACACCCTGCCACATGTGATGTAGTTACTCTACTGATGATGTCATCACATATGGAAGTGGAGTGCATTTTTTGCTAGGTCCAAAATGTTACTGCCACTGAGAAATGGACACAAAATACCGCTGAAGCCCTAGGGATGTATGAAATTTTCGCATGATCTTCTAAAAGCAGTTGTAAAAATCTGGGATGCAAATATTCCTCGATGCTGTCAAAGTCTGATCACCTTTTTTCGGCCGTCCTGCCCCCCCCCTCTCTCCCCAGGGGTCGCATAAATCATGACACAACAAAGCCCCAAGCACCTTCCATGTCAAAACAACAACCCAAATCCAGGCTACAGGAAACAAACACCAGGCTACAGGAATCAAACAACAGAGGTTCTGCTCTAGCTGAGCCCGCTGCTCCGCGGCAGCAGCCTCTGTAGCGGCAAACCGTTGCGTTAGGTTTGCAGACATAGCGGCATCAAGGCTAGCGATGTCGTCCTGCGACAGGCTCCTAGCCGACAGAACCCGCCGCTCGAGCATGTTAGCGGGGCTCTGTTGCCTGAGCCCGGCTCCTAGCCACTTTCTCGGTGGCCCTTGGGCATCTAGCCGCCTCCTGCGACATAGCGATCAGTTCCTGTAGCAGGGGCTTTTCCAAGTAGCGAGGAAGGCCTTCGGCGCACTCCTGTGGCCTAAACCTTAGCGCCTTCCTCAAGCCCCGAAGGGTCTCCGGAAGGTCGTCTCCGGTAGCAGGGTTGTCGCCCTTAGCGGGGGCACTTCCTGGCCCCTTGCCTTTGGGAGCGTTAGCGGCATCCTTGCCCTTTCCTCCCATAGCTGCTGCCCAAGGCCCGGATGGGGTGAGACTTCTAGGTGAGGCTAGGTACCCTAGGTAGCGAGCCCGCACTGGCTCCTGTGCCTGGCTCCTTTGTGGCCCTGTTGCATAGCGGGGCACAGCCCCTGGTTTCGTAGCACCTGCCTTCCGCAAGACGGACCTAGCGCAAGCACTGGCTCCTCTCCTAGCTCCTGTGTTCCCTGGGTGGCCAGAGAAGGGGTCGCCCGGCCCCGGTTTCCTAGCGCCTGCCTCCGCTCCTTGCTCCTCCTGCACGACACTAGCGGCACACAAGAAACACAACACACGTGACATGTAGCAAGAACGTGGTTCCCTCCACTCTCTTCTTTCTCACCCCCCGAGCGTCCTCCCCCTTGGGTAGCGTAGCGCGAGAGAGGAAAGAGAGAGAGGGGAACCGGAAGGAGAGAAAGGAGGAGATCCGACCTAGCAGCCTTTCTAGCCCTGCCGCGAGTCCGGCGGATTAGCACGCCCTTGCGCTCAAGGATGACTGCTAGCGGACCCTGCCGAGGGTTCCCCCGGGGGCTCCTCATCGTCCGAGTTAGCAAGCGATCCCTCGCTAGCGTCTCCTTCGGCCAACATAGCTTGCACACGTGCGTGTAATTGTGTGGCTCCGGAACCGTATCTGGAACCCTAGCGTTACGGAAAGCGCGGCGCTTTCCCATCCAACATCCACTAGCTCCTGCCTTGTGCAGGCGAAAGATGGCACCCGGGACCTCTACGATCTAGCTACTCTGGCTGCGGTCAGGAACCCTGGCCTGCTTCTTAGCAGGCCGTTCCACGACCTCTGCAGAAGCCTCGGAGCTGCTCCCTGCCACTGCGGCGATTTCTCGCTCGTCTAGCGCCTCGTAGCCGTCCTCCCCGAGCCGGGACACCCTACCCGCATAGGATCTAGCGTACACGTCGGAACCCTCTGGCTTCCAGCGTCCTATAGCAGATCCTTGTCCTGCGGGGGGATCTCTTTTAGCCAGCCCCGTGGAAAGTTTGCTCCGTCCAATAGCCCTGGACCTCCCGGGGGTAGCCCATGATAGCCAGCAACCCGGCCGTTGCCACCATAGCGTCCGCATATAAGGTAATCCCGGGCATAGCTGGCATGTGCCTTGAGGAGATCGAAGCCGGTAGCGAGCCAAGGCATGCTCCGAAACGATAACCGGTAGGACCCTTCTTGTAGCACCGGAAGTCTTGGTCTTCCTGAGGACGGTAGCGAGGCGGCCCGCGGCCCTCCACCATGGTTAGCTCGGCCTGCGCAATGACCATCTTAGCGTGGCCCAGACCTTGACCAGCTTAGCCCAGGCCCAGACCCGCCAGCCCACGGCCAGCACGGTGTTAACCACCACTAGCTCCAGCTGTACCAGCATGTAGACCGGGTAGCGCGGGGCCCTCTTGTTCTGGGGGGCCTTTTTCTGCTAGCTTCTCCACAATTCTGTCCTTAGCGGCCCAGACCAGGCGCCCGAAGGTGGTCCGTAGCTCCACTGGGAAGTCGGCCACCTTCTCCATCCAGGAAATAGCCTTGAGAATAGCCTCAGGCACTGACCGGCCGCACGGTTCATCACTCCTAGCGAGGAGATAATCGACCAGATCAGCGGCGGTGCCCGGGGGTGGCCTGAGCTTAGCGGCATGGAGCCATAGCTATGCAGCTCGAA